GATGCGGAGAGCGGGGCTGCGGGCGCGCGGGGCAGAGGCGCGCACTTTAGCCACCGCCTGTCATTGACCGGCTGGCGTCCCTAGGGTCCCCTTGCGGGATGCGTCCTCATTCACTCCCAGAGAGAGGACCTTCCTTCCTCGGGGAGAGACAGGGACGCACACCCTCCGGCCTTCTTCCCAGCGGAGAGCTGGCGCCATCCTGCCCCTCGCCCCTCCTGGGCGGCCCCTCTGCCCATTTCCCTGGTAACCTTTAGAGTCTGTGGGCAGGGGAGGGGCTGCCCCTGGGGTTGAATTGTACCCAGGACTGGGGTGGGTTTACTGAGAACAGTGGCAGAGGGACCCGAGCCGGGCGGGGGGACCTGGCTCCTGGGCCTGAAGCCAGCTGTCGCGGAGCTGACCTCCGCAAAGGGCGGGCGGGCCCCGGTCATCTCCATGAATCTGGTGGGTGGAGAGGGGCGCCGGGCCCCTGGCGGTGGGCAGGGGAGGGGCTGCCCCTGGGGTTGAATTGTACCCAGGACTGGGGTGGGTTTACTGAGAACAGAAAGCAGGGGTGTAGCTGAGGGAGAAGGCAGCGGTTCTCAACCTTCCTTATGCCACGGCCCTTTCATACAGTTCCTCATATTGTGGTGACCCTCAATCATAACATTATTTTCGTTGCTACTTCATAACTGTAATGTAGCTGCTGTTATGAATCGTCATGTAAATATCTGATATGCTGGATGTATTTTCATTGTTACAAATTGAACATAATTAAAGCATAGTGATTAATCACAAAAACGATATGTAATTATATATGTGTTTTCCAATGGTCTTAGGCGACCCCTATGAAAGGGTCTTTCCACCGCCAAAGGGGTGGCGACCCACAGGTTGAGAATCGCTGCTTTAGACCCTCCCTCTACGCCAGGATGTGTGTGTAATGGAAGAGGGGTGCCTTACACTTGACACTCATGTTAGCCTTGGCTGCCACTTTATGTCCCCCCTTATTTGGATGGAGCATCCCCACCTCCCCGTATACAGGGCCAGCTGGGAAGCAGGCTTTATACCTTGAGTTTGAATTCCAGCTCGCCCCTTCACTTGCTCTGTGACTGCAGGCAGGAGACTCAACCTCTCTGGACACTAGCTGCCCCACTCTGTTCAGAGGAGACCATCTAGAACTAGCTGTGGTGGTTATAAGGGAAAGGGGAGCTATCTGCAGGCTGGCCCTATTCAGGATCCTGGGGAGTGGAGAATTTGATGCCACCACAGAGGTGTGTCTGGAAGCTGGGGTGCATGAGAAGTGCTGGGAACCCGAGTTTGGCGGCTGCTGTCAGGGCCCCATGTGGGCAGGCCACGGCACGGCCAGGGGTACACCAGATGCTCTGAGCTGGTATCAAATCCCTGTTTGCTGCTGGGCAAAGGCAGACAATAAAACACCTGGGCTGGCCTGCTGAGTGTCAGGATGTGGGCAGGGGAGGGGCTGCCCCTGGAGTTGAATGGTACCCAGGACTGGGGTGGGTTTACTGAGAACAGAAAGCAGGAGTGAAGCTGAGGGAGAAGGCAGAAATGAACACTCCTCTGAGCCTAAGGCCCGTTCCACCAGGCTCTGGCCTGCTTTGAAACTGCACTGCCAGGAATCTTGCCTGAGGGGGTGGAGAGGGGCACGGGGCGAGCTGAGGTGAGAAGCTGGGGTTTCCCCGCCCTGGTCCCTATAGAAAACTTGAGCCCTGAGCCTTCTCTGTTCATTGCCTCCTCCCCCCTCTTGCCCTCATCCCTCTAGAAAATGTAAAAAGTTGTTCGCCACTCTGCCCCAGGGCCTAGAACAGAGCCTGGCTAGCCTGCAAAGCCCTTGGTAAATATTTGTTGAAAGGGTGGACGAAAACAGCCCTCCACCTCCAGATGGAGATGTGCCGGTCTGCTCCTCCCCTGCCTGTCCTATGACCCAGGCGCGGGTGACTTACTGGGATGGGGAGGAAAGCCCGCGGAGAGGATGGGGTCCCTGAAGGTGTCTATCTGGGGCTGGGACCTGGAGCACTGGCTGTACCTGTGAGTGGACCCATTCCCTCAGCTCCCCTGCTGAGACGGTTGGGTCGTTATCTCCCCAGCTGCAGGGTGGTTTTTTATCTCCCTGGTTGAGGGAGGTGTGAGGCTTCTCAGAACGGCGCAGCTGCCTCTCACAGCCAGGCCAGGGGGGTTCTCTCCCCATATGCCCTGTGGCACTGTCTTCATTCTGGACCCTGACCTAGGAGCCCATGGACAAGACCTGCCTGAGTGGAAGCTAGGACCACCTCCCAGGGACGGCCCAGCCTCCGTGGCTCTGACCCTCCTGGCAAGCCTGGGCACCTGGTGAGTGCAGGCCCCCGGCGGGCAGGCGAGGGAAGCCAGTCCTCCTGGCTCTAAAGTGAGGCCCTCCCTTTTGGGGTGAGGGGGTGTGTGTGTGCGCCAGCACATTTTATCTGCTGGTGCCAAAGAGGTCCTAGCTAAGGGAGTAACACCAGCGGGGAGCAGGAGAGGGACACGGAGGAGCGGGTAGGCGCTTTGGGACTAGCAGTTAGTCAGGCCTGTGCCCCCACCCCCCAGTCTTCCCTGCAAGTGTGCTCTGAGAAAGGGGAAGAGTGTAGGGGCCTGGGAGTGAGAGGAACCAGCGGGGGATGGGGTGACTCGGGCCAGGACTGGGGGGTGAGGGGTGGGTCAGGGGAGGGGTCAGGCTAGGTTGTGGAAATGTCTGTGTCCCACACCCATCGGAAAGGGTTTTCCTGGAAAACTGACCAGGAACTAGGAAGTCCCTGGGCAGTGGGTGGAAAGGAAGGTTCAGGTGCCACCAGCAGAGAGGCTGGAGTCTGGGGCGCCTCCAGGAGGGGACAGGTCCTCCAGAGCCACCCTCGGCGGGAATCCAGGGGCTTCCCGGGAGGGTGGGAGGGCAGGCCTCTCTCCCGTTCATCCTGCCGGCTGCTGCTCTTGCAGATGGTAGTTTGGAGCCCCCCTCTCCACTCTATCTCCTTTCTGTTTCCCTCCTCCTGTGCCTCCTTCCATTGTCGTCACTGTCCCTGACCCCTCTCATCCTCTTCCCTGCCTTTGCCTGTCTTCTCCCTCCCTCTCAATCAGACGTCCTCCTCCTTCCCTCCTGCTCTCCACCCTCCGGTTTGCCAGCTTACACACGGCTTTGCTGCTGGGTAAAAATAGCGGTGACAGCGGCCAGGCCAGGCCTGCTGCCAGGTGGAGCCTGAGCAGGCGGGGGGCCCAGCGGGACTGGCCAGCGGGGTCAGACTGAGCAGTCCTGAGAGGCAGGGCCAGGAGGGGTTCCTGCTGGGATCGGGGTTTGCAAGCTCTGTCTGCCCTGCCCCCTCTCCTACCCCTAAGAGCCTGAAGAAGCCTGTGGGGAAACAGGAGGAGACAAGGCCTCACACTGCTTCTGCCCCAAGCGAGCCTCAGAGGGAGAGAGCAGTCAGCCAGGCAAAGCCAAGACCGTCATCACCATGACAACCAGTCACCAGCCTCAGGACAGGTACTGGGAGGCCTGGGCTGGGGACCCAGGGGTGTGGAAATGGGTCTCTAGGGGGCTGGGTGGCGTGACCTTTGGAATTTGGAGTTGTCACTGCTGACTGGCCTTCCAGCCAGGTCACTGTGAGACAGGTCTGCGTCAGGGGTGGGGGCCATGCCTGCCCTGGCTGGGTGCTGGCAAGGGTGTCTGTGGGGAGAGTCACGGTGGGTGAGTGGCAGCTCCTCCCTGGCCTGTCAGTTTTTCCGCTGTTGCTCTCCAGCCAGCCGCAGCTTCCGGCCCTCCTGCCACCATCCTGGGGAGACATTTGGCAGCACCCCTCATTCCAGACAGAGCACATCTGGCAGAACGGCCCCTTCCTCAGGGCTGCGTCTCTCTCACATGACCTTGATGCACTTGGTCCTTGCTCTGACCTTCCTCTCCCTTCTGCACCCCTGGAGCCTGCGACCCCCTCAAGTTAGACCCGCATACGTGTTTGGGGGAAGAGGCTGTCGCTTGGCTCACCTTCTCCAAGGAGTCTGGGACCATAGCAAGTTGATGAAGTCATGCCTCAGGTCCAAAGCTCTTCACCCCTTCACCTCTCCCTCCCGGTCTGTCTCCCTCCCTGTGCCAAAAGCCACAGAACTAGACTATTTCTGGCTGTGGGTCCTTGGGCACTTACCTCCCTGGGACCATTTCCCACCTGTGAAATAGAGGCGAGGTGTATTTGGATGGACGAGAATTTAAGGAGACAGTAAGTCCAGGCCCCGGTCGGTGCCCTCCCTCGTCCCTACGCCCAGGCTGCTTGCCTGCTCCTTCCCAGCCTCACCACTCCCATCTCCATCACCTGTTGCACTCATCCCACCCCCCACCCCCCCTTTCCTGTGTGACCTTGACTGGGAGTTTCTCCCTCCATCCTGGGTCTCTGAACCAAGCCCTTAGCTCTCTATGTCAAGCGTATATGAGGGAGCTGGGGACTGCAGTTGTCATGACTGAGACCTGCCCAGTTGGGGCGCCCACCCGGGCCCCCCTGTGTGAGGCAGGCACTGCGCTCTGGCCAGACCTGTCCTCGCTGCCTTGGGCTTTGTCCCTGCCCTCTCTGTGAAGAAAGCAGCTGCTGGCTGTCGGGAGGGTAGGGCAGCCACATCTGGAGACCATAGTGGGAGCACCCAGCGCTGCCTGGGGGAAGCTGGCCCATCCCAGACAGGCCCTGAGGTGTAGGACTTGGGGTTGGCCTGGCAAAACCAGGGGTGGCACTTATTTACACTCCGGGGCCCAGGTGACGTTCAGTGGCCGGATACCTCCTGGCCTACCCTGGGTGGTGTGACCTACAAAGCCGGTTCTGTCCGGGCCTGGAAAGAACAGCTCCCTCATTTCCCGCTGCCCTCAGGCACCTTGCCTGCCCCACGAGGTCCAGAATGGTCTGGGAGTTTCGTGCCCTCAGAATTCTCTTTGGGCAGCCGCACGCTCCCTGGCCAGGCTGCAGCGGTCACTCCCAGCAGCTGTGGGCAGGCGGGCGGGCGGGGGAGGGAGACACTGCTGTTTGCTTCTCGCTCACCCGCCACCCCCAGCCTGTAGAGCAGGATTTCCAAAACTACCTCCAGATGTGTGGGTCACACTGGTTCCCAAGCCTGCAGGGTCCCCTGAGTCTTCAGGGGCTGAGAACCACCGTCCTATGGCCATGTCCTTCAGCCTTGTGTCCCCCCCCCCTCCTCCTCTGGACACAGCTGGGCCCTGTCCCCTATCCCAGGACACCTCCCCCTCCACTTACACTCGTAGGGGGACACATGTACTTGGACACAAACACAGATGCCCTGTGCCCTGGGATGGCTGGAGAGACTGAAGGGCAGGAGGGACGGGCTTCCCTGAGTTTGGTCAGGGAGGGGGGCGGAGATGGTGGGTCACTTGGCTCCTCTTTCCTCTCCCATCCCCAGGTACAAAGCCGTCTGGCTTATCTTCTTCATGCTGGGTCTGGGGACCCTGCTCCCCTGGAATTTCTTCATGACAGCCACTCTGGTGAGACGGGGGGACGGGGCTCCAGCGGGCATGTCCACGGGGCAGGCAGGGCCTGTACCTGTACTTGTGGGCACAGGGAGAGAGGTGCTAACACTCCTCCCTGCATGCCCCACAGTATTTCAAAAACCGCCTGGGCCAGCCCCAGAACATGTCCGTGGGCACGGCTAACCTGAGCAGGGACATCCAGGCCTTGGCCACCCCCACGGTACCCTCTCCGGATCAGAATTATCTGCGTGACATCTTCAACAATGTCATGACCTTGTGTGCCATGCTACCCATGCTGATCTTCGCCTACCTCAACTCCTTCTTGCATCAGAGGTGAGCGCCCAGGCCCAGCCTGACCCCTGGCTGCCTCCTGCGCACCCTGGGCTGAGCCCCACGCCTCTCCGCCACCTCGGCCTCCCCTGCAGGATCCCCCAGTCCGTTCGGATCCTGGGCAGCCTGGTGGCCATCCTGCTGGTGTTCCTGACCACTGCTATCCTGGTGAGGGTGCCCCTGGACGCCCTGCCCTTCTTCGTCATCACCATGGTCAAGATCATGCTCATTAATTGTAAGCGGGGCTGGGGGGAACCTGGGCGGAGATCTTCCCACGTCTCCCCACCCTTCCTTCAGACCCACAGCCAGCCAGAGAAGCTCATTCCGACCCCCAGAGGAAATGGACGCCGTGGGCAGTGAGCGCTCAGACGCCTGAGCCGCAGGGACAGGGCTTCGAGTGAGGGGCGGAGAGACGGGCCCCTGGGCAGCAAGACCCACTGGCAGTAAAGCAGGAGTTCCAGGAACCTGTTTCCCCATGAGCCCAACAGCCCCCAGCGGAAGTGAGCCCCACCCTGCCCGCACCCCTCTTGATGCCCATCCTGTTCCCCCAGCATTCGGTGCCATCCTGCAGGGCAGCCTGTTTGGTCTAGCTGGCCTCCTGCCTGCCCACTACACGGCCCCCATCATGAGTGGCCAGGGCCTGGCAGGCATCTTCGCCTCAGTGGCCATGATCTGCGCCATCGCCAGTAAGTCTTGCCGTCTATCTTATCTGCCCGGCTGTGTGCCATGAGAAGGCGGTGGGCCCTGTCTCACGGCTGATACCCTCCACCCCAGGTGGCTCAGAGCTGTCAGAAAGCGCCTTCGGCTATTTTATCACAGCCTGCGGGGTCATCATTTTGACCATCATTTGTTACCTGGCACTGCCCCGGCTGGTGAGCAAAAGGAGAAAGGGGGGATTGCGGTCTGGGGAGCCCAGGGCGCTGGACCACGGGTGTTCTGAGGCTGACACCTGGGGGAGGCGGAGATTCTGGAGATCCCGTTTCTGAGTCCACCTTTGCCTTCCTCACTCGGTAGGAATTCTACCGCTACTACCAGCAGCTCAAGCTCGAAGGGCCCGGAGAGCAGGAGACCAAGCTGGACCTCATTAGTAAAGGTCTGCAGATACGAGGAAGCTGGGGTGGAGGAGGGCCTCCCGGCAGGGGGCAGCTGAGCACAGCGGGCAGGAACTGGTGCCCTGTGTTTACTGGCAGAGATGAGGCAGAGGGATCAGGGGTGGGGCGAGGGGACACTGGGAAATAAGAGCTGTGGGAACTACAATAGGGGGAGGTTCTGGGTGACCGTGGGAAGCAATTTCGGATTTGGGGACAAGGTGTAGCCTGAGCTGAGGCTCCTGGGAGAGGTCAGGGCACAGGGACTGGCACTGTAAGGAGGTCTGCGCTAGGTGGTAGGGTGCCCCTGTGCACTGTGAAAGGAGGTGCCACCCCCACCTAACCCCAGCCCTTTTGGGGAATGTTTACATCATTTCCTGTTGCTGTCTTTCCTACAATTTGGAAATCCTTCCACAACCTGTCACCCCAGGAGAGGCGTCAAGAGCAGGCAAAGAGGAGTTTGGAGTTTCAGCCCCCAATTCTCAGCCCACCAACAATAGCGCCTCAGTCTGGGCCATCCTCAAAAATGTGAGTGCCCTCTACCCCTCACCCTTCCTCTGCTCACTCCTCACCCACCCACCCACCCTCCCCCACACAGTCCATCCCATCCTTTTCTGGCCACTCTC